TTTGGTCGCCCTCTTTGTGGTGGCCTTCGCTTTGGACCCCTTTTTGGCCGAACTCTTGGCCGCAGTTTTGGCCGACTTTTTCGGCTTAGGAGTCAATGAAAGGGCTTTTGTCTTAGGATTGGCTACAGAGGGAGGCGTTCATCGGGTTAATAGCGGTTCAGACAAACAGATTGGCATTCATTGCATTGATTTGAGGAGAAAATGATCACAAAAGACAAAACCAATTGAAACTGATTTGAGAAATGAATGCAAATCTGAGATAAACCACTCAAACGTGTATTCAATGGCTTTCAATGCAATGTTGCGCTTAAATGCGAGACAAAAGACATACGAATCACTCGAACATACCTTTCTGTGGCATTTTGTCTTCAATTTGATCCAATGGATGGTGTATTGAGACAATCAGTGGTCAGTAGTAGTGATGAACGACACTATAAACCGATATAACAGTCAATTGAATGCAAAACAGAGACTGAAACCAAAAATGACTTCAAATTTAGTTTTTAACGGTTTATTCACAACACAAACAAAACACGTGTTTTCATTGGTTTCCATTCGTCTGAATGGCGTTTGAATTAAACCAATCATTTGGCGCAACACTAGACGGCGGGACTGTCTCTCCAACCAATCAGTGATCCAATCACTCACTACTTAACACAAGCTCTCAATACACAGCAATAGATAGCATAGCAGTGAACAGACAGACAGTGACAGTCTCTGAGTATCTGTGTCACAAACACACTGGTGACGATGGTGAACATGTGGTGTTGACTAGGGTTGACTAGGGTTGTACAGCCTGCTGGAGCACAACCTGGGGCTGTAGTCCCAGACCCAGAAGTTGCCCATAGTGATCATCACTTTCTTTGTCGGTATTCTTCGCCATTACGTATCGATTCTGATCTCTTCGACCAAAAAGATTGAATTACAACAAGTGATGGACAGTCAGGCGATGATTAGGTCGAGACTTCTGCGAGAGAACGGCAAATATCTGCCCAAACAGGTGAGACAACGGTGATGGTGTGGTACGGGTGCCAGTGAGTGATGATGTGTTGATAATTGCAGTCATTTCTGGTTCGTCGGCATTACTTCAACGACGAGGAGAACGGATACTTCAAAGTGAGTCAAAAGCGTCAGACCTCTGCCCCCAACCCGATGACCGACCCCTCGATGATGACCGACATGTTGAAGGGAAACGTGACAAACGTGTTGCCGATGATTCTGATCGGCGGTTGGATCAACTGGACCTTCTCGGGCTTCGTCACCACGAGAGTGCCGTTCCCTCTGACCCTAAGGTTCAAACCGATGCTTCAGAGGGGCATTGAGTTGATGTCTTTGGACGCGTCGTGGGTGTCGTCCGCCTCGTGGTATTTCCTCAATGTGTTTGGACTCAGGAGTATCTATGCGCTGGTGTTGGGCGAGAACAACGCCGCCGACCAGACGCGCCTCATGCAGGACCAGATGTCCGGCTCGGCTATGGCTATGCCTACGGATCCCAAGGCGGCCTTCAAAGCCGAGTGGGAGGCCCTCGAGATATGCGACCACAACTGGGCCCTCAAGAATGTCGAGAACGAATTGACCGGTGTTTCCCTCACCTCTACATCTGAAACGAGCACTTCGGGTGAACCACGCAATGGGAACTGATTTTCAGTGATCTTGTATTTTCTATTAGATTTAGTGTTATTTTATTAATGATTTATAATTTATTGTATTGTTTACTCAATTTGTTAAGACTTTCATTCATTTGATTTGTTTTCTCTTATTCGTGAATCAAATAATTTAATGAAACAAATGTTTTTATAATCAAAGATCTAAAATAAAACTATTAAACACTTACAGTAAATGTTTTCAATTGATGGTACAGTAATAGAATTGAGTTATTTTTATCAGATTTAGTGAATTTTTTGAGTTTGTTATTGAGGCTTAAATTTTTAGATTAATTATTAAATATGAAAATAAAGTAACGTAAAGTATACAGTAACTAATTTTTGGATTCTTTTGAAAAGTTATAAACTTTACAAAAATATGCATTTATTAGTGAAAACATAGAATTTATGAATTGCAACACAAATATCGAGGACTCAGTGTCTGATAGCCATGGGACCCATCGTAGGACCCATGGGTGGCATTGCGTGACCCATGTGTCCCATAGGACCGGAGCCGTTGTGTGCGTTTCGCACAGCATTTCCGTACTCTTTAATGGCAACCACTTTAGAGCCGTCTCTCTTGCCTTTGAAATACCAGTACTCGATGGCCAGTGTTATACAGGCCAACACCACCCCTATGAATATCACTATAAACACACCACCTATCCATGCAAACAATGGTTAATGCGATTCAAATGCTGCCAACACTTCATGTGATGCCTACCGATATTGTTAATACTGATGCCATCGCTCTGTTTCTTAGTGTCCTGACAGTCCTTTTTCTCGGGGTTTTTGTTCCACCACTTCTCCTTCAACGACTCCAACCTCCTTTGGTTCAACAGCTTTAGTATAGCACTACTCAACTTGTCCTTCAGATCAGAGTTCTGCCGAACGGCCAGAGCTAATGGTTTGCGACTGAACTCATTGCCCACACTCTGGAGGTCACAGTTGGTCATCACCGCGTACTTAATCATCGTCGCCTCCGCTGCCATCAAAGTATAAGTCATTCATTCAATGATCAAATCAATTCAGTTGTCGTACTAACCTATGAAAGCGAACCCTTCGTTAGGTTTTGAGGAAGTCTTCACTTTTTCGACGCCTTCGAACCACGACTTCGGTTGCTTTGCTTCTTGTATTTGAGCCCATATTTTGGTGTACTTATCGCTGACAGGATAGTCCCAAACGGCCAGTTTTGCCCTCTCGTTCTCACTGAGGCTGTCATTCAGAGACATGTCTTTCCAAATCCTGTAAATCACAATCTCTTAATTGACTGAACAAATAGTGATCCAATCATTGATTGCTTTCAATACTCGTAAAATCTTTCCTCAATGCCGGCCATTCTCTCGAAGTAAGTGCTCGAAGACGTGCCTTCTTGGGGCGCGTATTTGATTTTGTACTGTTTGGCCAAATCATCCAACGATTCAATGGGTGAATCCAAACGGGAAACCGTGAGAAAAGCGGCCAAATTAGCCGTATATGAGGCGATGATAATGAAGCCGAAGAGCCACCAGGTGGCCGCCACCAAACGACCCGATAGGTTGCGCGGCGCTTCACCGCCTCCCTGGGGGGTCAGAGAAGTCATGCAAAACCAAAGACATTCCTTAAGAGTGAATTCCCTCTTCTCGTCGTCGTCTTTATATTTCTCTTTGTTGTTGTGATAGCTGTATGGACTCAAGCGGTCGAACAAATACATTAGGAATCTATATATAAATGGAAAATAGTTTTTATTAATTAAATTTCATTTCAATTGTAATGAAGACTCGATTAAACACACGAAGTGAAGAAATAAGCGGCTAATATGCAGAGCCATACGTTGGTCTCCAATACTGTCAAGAATTTGAACAAATGTGACGGAACTGAGGGCTTCTTCATGAGAATAGTGATTCCCACCAAATCATAGTACGGGACCGTGAAGTCAACCACTGTTTCTCGCTCTGCCATCACCGATATTGGTCCCAAAGCTATATCTGATTTCTGCAAATGGTACCATGCAATTAGATATACATGTATGTTTTACATTATAACTTTGTCCTTTTATTATTATAATCTATACATTTTCATGTAATTCCCCAATCATCCCGGTCCATTTTTTGTCATCATTGGGATCTTTTCTGCCAAACTCATTAGTTGTATATATTTCATAAGTGAATAACTGAACTGGTTCAGTGTGATTCAGTATTTCTTCGAGCAAATCAATACAATAGCCATAATAAGCGTCTTTTCCTTCAGACTTGTTGTCGGGATTTTTCATTACGAATGGCGGTTGCTTTGGGATTAGGTTGGGGACAGGTATGTTAAATGACATGAAATCAATCTTTTGAACATGGTTAAAGTTCATACAATAATGGTAACGATCCTATAGTGAGGTTTGGCGGAGGTTTCTCCGGCAGACAGTCGCTCGACAGCCGACGAGAAGACGAGAGTTCCGGTGTGTCCTTCGTATTCCCATTCAGAGATCTTCGTGTTCTTGTTCTTGGAATCGGCAGATATGACCACTTTATTGGTTCTCATACTGATCTCCTGGTAATTATTGCCGATCTTATACGAGCCGAACACGAATCGACCGAACATTCCGTACATCAACTCATTGGTCAAGTGTTGGGCCAAACCCCAGCCAACCCTCTCTGCCCTCTGCTCTTTGTCCGTATGTTTTCCACATTTAGGAAAAGTGATGGATTGTGGCCAAGAAGTGTTTATCAGGTCGTCAACCATTTCAAGTGTGAATCGAGTCAAGTCGTGGTAGAAATAAGAGTCAACTTTATCTGTATTATCGATGTTCTCAAGAGTTGTGTTCAACTCGTAGTCGTGTAGACGAGTCTTAAGCGGTTGTGAAAACATAACCTCTATTTTCTTGCATGTATTGCACATTAGTTTGCCTTTTGTCTGATTCAGTCATTAATATAATTGTGTTCATATTAATTCATAATTCTATACTTAATAAATTGCTTACTTTAGTAACAAAGTGCCATTTGTTCTGCTTATCAAACATTTCATTTTCATTTGCCTATATTTTATAATTAATTATTCAATTAAAATTGTGTTATTTTAATATTATTTTAACCAGCTAATTCAAACATATAAATTATTGATATTCGTTTAATATAAACATTTTGATAAAAATAATATAAAGTAATATATTTATTTTTTAAAATTTAATATAGTAATAAGTTATTAGTAATATGATTATTATCCTAAAATTAATTGAAGCTTTCAAATTATTCTTGTAACATACGTTAGAACTTGTTTAAATTTTTTGCAATTAACCTTCCCATTATCTATTTTTTAATTGAATTGAATGGTGTTCATAAACAACATAAATAATAAAATTACTTAAAACTCAAAAGACTTACTCTACTTCCGTGATACTACTGATTGGTTTATATAAAATTTATAACCCAAATGATAATGGTATAATTTGATAATCTATTATTCACTCACCGCTTCTATCACTTTATTCAATGTGTCAATTGATCCAAATATGATATAGTTTTGTAGTTTTGCTTTCTTTATATCTGCCAATTGTCTTGAGTACTGCTCCACAGTCGTGCCCTCCAGAAGTCTGATCACATGTTTGGTCTTTGTATTGACCAGTAATGTCTTCTGTTTGTGATCCAATGCTAAAATATATTCATTATATTCATCAATCGCTTTAAAATAATCATTAATTTCTAGAATTGTTTTGTAGTTTAAATAACCTGGGTTACATAGTACATTTTAATATACAATAGTTATATTTAATCCAATGCTAAAATATATTCATTATATTCATCAATCGCTTTAAAATAATCATTAATTTCTAGAATTGTTTTGTAGTTTAAATAACCTGGGTTACATAGTACATTTTAATATACAATAGTTATATTTTACTTTTAAATTCTATACTATTATATAAAAATTGTTAAATTTTTTCATTTACTTAAATTTAAGTATTAAATGTAAAAACATAATATTAATTAAGAACTCATACGAAATGATTGGTCATAATAGACAAGAATAGTTTTGTAGTTGTAATGAATGGCCAAATCTTTAACCATCAACGGAATGGTATCTCCGGGTTGGTTCACGTGAATTAAATACTGCTTTTCATTGTCATCTAAGTTTCTCCAGTGTGTTATCCCTGACCCCAACTGATAGGTCGTAGAAATGGTTGCAATTCCCATCTCTCGGACCAAATTCTTTACTTTCGGTGAAGTCTTTGCCGATTCCGTCACATCCAAGACATACGTTGGGTTTAATTTGTCGCGAAATATCTGCTCACAAATGGTCGTAGAATTGTCTTCTTCTCCAATAATCACTTCATTCACTATAATTTGGTTACCATTTGGGG